TAATGTTCACAATTGACAATCATCTTTCTTATATTGTACATCTATCTATATTTCATTGATGAAATGGATCGTGGGTTCTCCTCCAGCATCTCTTCGTGCATAAAGAGATGTATTTGTGCATTTCAGGGGACAAGGGTGTTATGTGGTAATTTTTAAGTCAATTATGAGTTACTTAAGAGTATCTTCAATCATGGTGTAAAATAGTGTAAAATAGATCTAAATTATGATTTAGATATCCAAAGTAATCTCAAATCATTCTAATGGAGAGGGATATGAGGAAATGCAAATTGCGTTTTTCAGTAGAAAATATTTAAAAAAATGAAAATTAAAAAAAAAATTGAATTTAGATTCACTAGAATGTACATGGGAAATGTAAAAGTGATTTTAAATATACTAGGGTAATTTGCGCAAAACGTCCCTACCTATGACGAGTTTTGTGAAAAATGTCCCTACATTTGAATTTTTGGTGCAGAACTTCCCTACTTTTGCATTTTCTTGAGCAAAACGTCATTTTCACTAATTTCTAACATAAAATGACCAATATACCTTCTTATATAAATAAAACAAAAAAGAAAAGAACTATAAAGAACAAATTGTAATTAGAGACCCAAACATTTTAAAATGTGCAAATAACCCACAAACACTTCACCTTCTTCCCAAAACTCACCCTTCCCACCGCTGCCAGCCGTCCATTTTCAACCACAAAAACAGTTCAGAGAGGCAATTCTCAGTATCAATATCACTCCAAACTTTTCTTGAGAACTGAAAATTCTGAATATCTTTTATTAAAGATCTTGTATCCAAGAAAACAGGGTCGGCCAGAGTGAAAAAATTTGGAAGTGAAATTTGGAGGTGGTGTTCTCTTGTTTTAGTCCTCCCCATTTCGAGGAGACAAATGATTGTATTGGTAAAAGGTCGGCCAGAGTGAAAAAATCAGCAATTTTTCTCTAGAAGCTTGGCCATATTTATTCCTACATTTCCAATAAATTTGTCAAGACTAAATTGAAAAGAATAAACATGTAAAGGTTTCGAATGAGCTCGAATCGCGATTTGGAAATAAACTTACTTGGTTGCCGGGATTTGCAGCGGCAGCACGATGTTGATAATTGAAGGTTGTAGATGTGTTCCAATTGTCTTCGTCTTTAGCCCCTAAGATTTGAGCTCCATGAGAGCTCAACTCTTCAACCTTAGCCAGCATTTCGAATCAGCTCGATCGCTCAAGGCAAGATCGGGCTTCATTCAGCTCGAATCGCGATTTAGGTAGCTTGAATTCCGAATCGGGTTGGTGTGATTTAGGGTTCTTGGTGGGGAAGGCGATTTGGGATTTTCTTATTAGTTTTAAGAATTTTCCCTAGTTTATTAAAATATGAAGGAAGAAATGAAAGGAGGAGGACTATGGGGGTTATGGTTTTGGCGGCGGCGGGGTATGCACCAAAAATTCAAAAGTATGAATGTTTTCCACAAAACTCGTAAAAGTATGGACGTTTTGCGCCAATTACCCAATATACTAATTTGCACCTGATTTACAATACCATTGAAGATGCTCTTATTATGAATAAATTCATCTTTACCGTTACATAAGTAACTTATCATTATGTTCAAAAATAAAATTTACTTAAATTACTTTCTAAGCTTAACCAACCATGCGATATGTACAAGTCAAAACAAACTTTGCTACATTTAAGACCAGGTTTTTGCAAGTGTACAAGTATTCAAATCTATATATTATTACTCAACTCCTTTTCAACAATAA